TACTGTTTACCAACCTCACAAGAGTGCTGTGATGACCAGTGAATTCATTAGTGAAAACAAGGTGGAAGACCCTGAAGGGAAATAGCCATATAAGCTAGTACCTAAAGCATGCAAGACCTGTCTTGGATGTCATCTGTGCTACAGCCTCCCATGTTTGCACTAGACTGCCTTTTCACCCATGCTGCAGAGCTCTCTGGAAGGGGAACCCCACCATGCTCAGCTCCCCAAGGGCGTGTCCAAACATGCTTTCTGGATACCTACTCCCAGGGGAGGCTGAGGACACAGCAGCTCAGGTCTTATCAGCTCAATGCAGGACCATCCAAGCCTGTGCAAGCTGGCAGCATTGAGAGAAAGCATGCATGTCATGGGGCTCGACATGCATAAACCCCTCCAGGGCCTTTTCTTCACGTTGCAGAGGAGATGCAGCTAGGAAGTACTTGGGAACGTTGAGAAGAGGGGTTAGATGGAACAGGACATGGCTGAGGATCCACCTTCTGTCTCTACACTTTCATGCTCATGTCCAAGGGATGAGTTTCACAGCAGCAGCCAGCAATTCATAGGGGGAAAACAGAAGGGAGGTTTAGCTTGAAAGCACTCCATTTCCTTTCTTCTTTCACTCCCCAGAACATTTTATTTATTTTGTTTTCAGAGACTGTTTCAGACATTGCTGGGAAAGAGAAAAAGGGTTTTAAGAGAGAGCTCAGATGTATTCTTTTATGCAACATATGAATAATTCAATTTGCTGCCATCAATAGCTTGGGTTTCTCTAAATAAGCCATCTATCTAGGGGTTAGGAGGAAAACTAGCAGGAGTGTAATATGACAAATGATGTTTCTGGATAAAAGACGGCACTGCATTTACACATGAACTCTAACAGGAGGGTATTTCAGCTAGCAACTCATGTAATATTTCACTGCTGCTACATTTGACGAGTTGTCTGTCCATTAGTTGTGGCATAAAGAACTCATAAGATATTTATAAGCATTCAGAGATACCTAAATAGGGAATAATTTGACTTTAGGGATGGGCACCGAAGAGAGAAGCTTTGACAGAACGTGCAGCCTTCTGCTTTCATGCCTGGTAATTGCTGGAGCAAAGTGGGGCTGTATATGCTAATGAGAGCTGTTTCAGAAATGTTTTTCCCTCCAGACAATTATGATTTTCCTAGGCAGTATGAATAACATTACACCAGGACCTGAGAAACACTGCTAGGTGGAAAAAAAAAAAAAAAAAGTTAAACATGGCCACGTTGTTGCAGTGACACACAAGGCCCCTGCTTAGGATGTCTCCTGCTCCTCTGCTATATCTCCCAGGTTCTTCAGAGTCCCTGAGGCTTGGGGAGGGAAGAAAGTGCCTTCTTCTAGGCAACTTGTCAGAGACATTGCTGAGCTGGATAGACCCATCCTGAAGGGGATGGCAGGTAACAGATCAGCAACCCCTGCAGCGTGGTTGGGTCAGCTCTTCAAAACAAAACCAAATTGCTGTTCATCAGAATAGCTATTTTTTTTCCAGAAACTTTCTCTGTGGTGAAGTTTTTTGCAAGAGAACTACAACCTTTCTCGTTATCAAGAGCCCAACTCTCTTCAAAAACAAAACCCTGGCAGAAAGACACTGACGAGCAGTAAAGCTATTTTCTGCATGTGTCCATGGACACCTGCAGGTATTGCATGGAGGGGGGGGGGGTGTCACTGCAAAGGGATGAGTTAGATTTTTCTGCATTTCTAAGAAACTAAATACCCAGTCCTGAAAACCCCTAGGCAGGCGCTCTGCAATAAGAAAGGCAGTGCCAGAGAGATGTGGAGGAAGAGAAACGACTCACAACCTGAGGGCTCTTCTGTCTCCCAGAAGGCATTTTACTGAGATGCCTGAGCTGGGAATCCACTTGCCTTGCCCTGACACGTGGAGAACTGGCAGTAGCCCTCAGTTTTCAAGAGACAACAGCTCTTCTGCACAAAGCTCCCCTCTTTGCTAGTGTTTGCAAAAAGGAGCTATTTTTAGAGTTTTCTCCCAGAAAGAAGTGCCAAAGCAGATATGTTACAACAAAAAACCCTTACAAGAACTGAGCCCTGATCTGCTCTTATACTATGCAGCTCCCATCCCTTGATGAGCTGTGGCATGACAATCAATGTGGCAAGATACTCGGCAATGTGCTGTGCATCTTCGATGGCAGAATCAAATCCTTCAAGGCTCTCACAGGAGGGAATCAAAACCTTGCACCTCTGCTGTATCACCCTCTCTCATTGTTCTACTTTTAACTTCTGCTCCCAGTCCTGACACTAGCCCTTTCCACCCCACTTCGGGTCTATCAGTAATTTTAAAAAGAATTTGCTTCTTGTCAGTAACTGGTGGAAAAAAAAGCTTTCTAGTGGGCCAGACTCGTGCTTTGTGATTCAGGTGCTGTTTTTCTCATTTGGACAGATAGGCAAATTTTTATGTAGTTAACAATCTGGCATGGTTCATTCCCCTACTTAGTAACTGCTGTCCTCAAATACTTTTCCTCCATTCCTGGAGTCTCAACATGTGAAGCTATGTCTTCAATGAACCTCTGTACTAGCCAAGCCCAGGAGGCCCGCATGCATCTGGCCACATAGATACAGCACCTGTCCACATGGGATCCGGAAGAGCACAACACAGCAGTCACCTTTTTTGCTGGTCTTGTGCTGTCAAATGCATCTCTCCTCCCCTCCCCATCTTTCTGCATGACTGGCTGCATCTGCAGAATTTGGACCTTCCTGGGATGGAAGTTACTCCCCATGCTGAGACCCCTCATGCTGAGCGCAGCTGCTCAGCAGGTTGGTCATTTGGGTCTGGTTCATGGAGAAATGTGAAATTCACGGTGCTGCACTGGGTTGGCCAAGTAGCACAACGATGAAGACTGATAGACTGATACTGGGCTAGAAGCAGAGGCTTCTAGCAATTCTAGCAACACACATGTTTCCAGTCAGGCAGGTCCCTCCCCAGACCTTGCCTCATTTTCTCCTTCCTGATGGAGGAGAAACCCCAATACAGAAGAGAGGAAGACACATAGGTGTGTACTTTGTGAATGTCATCCTCTTCTGAGCACTTTGTATGTGTAGGTCAGGATGGCTGTCCATACACATCTCTGTTTATTAGCACAGCAACATCCTGCAGGGTTAAGTGAGGCTGGGAATCCATGGTGCCAGATGCAGTACACCCATTTAAGAAGGGATGTGTACAACCTCAGGAGGCTACAGTCCAGAGAAATAGGTCAGAAAGAAGAAGGACCCAGGGAAAATGATGCACACACACTGTCACAGCATGGTACCAAAATTTGCAAAGACTCTCTCCTTTCTCCCTTTGAGATCTGGGGAGGGGAAGGATGAAGTCACTTTCCTCAGACCTTGTTTTACAGGTGGTTTTCTGGAAACAAATGTTCTCTACAAAAAGCTCGTCAACCTCCTACAGTACCACTTTGAAGAGACACCCAGCTCGAGGGCCCTACATTGCAAAGACACCTTAAAAATCCAACCAAGAAAAAGAAAAAGATTTTTGGTATAAAATATTTTTTCCTTGTCCCACTTATTTTCCCAGCCTTTTTTAGCCTGTTCTCCTACAGATGGCTAAAGAAGGTCTTGCTGGATTTGGACTGACAAGAGGGAGACATTTTTTTTTGCTGCCTAAATGTCAGGACAGATGTGTCAATAACACCATTAGGCAATTCCATGCCTGCTGCAGTCACTTGCATCACTACTGCATGAGAGAAACTAGGGCAAAAAGGCAGCAACTAGGGATTTTGTTTTGATTAAGAAAATGAGACTTCCCACAGCCAATTTTGAAATGCTGTAGAAGGGTGTGATTTGAGCTAACACCCTCACATGCCTCAGAGAGAAACTTTTTGTCTTCCTGCGGAGGCATTGAATACTGCATTACTGGCACACACTGGGAAAAACACCTCTCTCTTCCTACCTTATCAATACAGAGAGAAAAGAGAATAAAAGAGAAGTCAGGATCTTGTTGGGTTGCCCCTGTGCTGATCACAGGGTGAGACACTGGTATTACAGGAGGTGAAAATAGAAGTTTTAGGACTTGTTAGATCTCGGTGGAGAAAACCCCTGCAATAGAGAAACACGAGCAAATAGTCTCTCAATCTCAACTTGGACATTCAAGTTGGAGCTATGGCTTTGCTCCAGACAGCCAAATGGTCTTTGCTAGGTTAGGAGTCTGTGACCAATGCTGGAGAAAGTTTTGGGATCAGCAGCATTATGCACACCCTCCATTCCTCCACACACTGGCAAACACAAATCTGTGCCACACTTGGGCAGCTGGTTTCAGCCAAAACCAAAAAGATTTTTTAAAGTAAAAAATGCATCATTTAAGAAAGAATGAAGTTGATTTCCAAAGTCTGCCCCATTTGGAGAAGAAAATGTATCTTACTTTACTGTGAGCAATCAACGAAGCACGGGAACCTAGAAGAAAACATTGCATTTGGGATCTAATCAGAAAAAAATATTTTATTTCAGAGACATGGGATTCATTGCAGCTTGAAACCCAAAGACTTCTGATTTTGTGTTCATTCAGAGACAGAAATGTTTCATGTTTGAGCCAGTGTGCAAAACAATCTGCTTTATGCCCAGCTCAAGTCAGGAGAAAGTAAGAGATGATGTTGGCCTGCTGAGTAAGACAAGCTCCATGTACGTGGACAGATGCTCCTGGCCCTGATATTACACAGCATTTAAGCACCTGGGTTTTCTTCAGTCTCTGACCAGCCCATTCAGAGGCAGGAGGGAAATGCTGATCTCCATTAGGGCCAGTGGGAATTTTGCCATTAGTATCCACAGAGTTGGGACTTTACCCAGCAAATAAAGATGAGTGATCTCTCACTGTCCTGGCCGAAGGAGAGAGTGATACAGCTGATCCCATGCAGACCAGCTTCCAAAGCAGCTGATCCCCTGCAGACCAGCTCTTAGAGGCTGTATGCTTAACCCCAAATATGCCCTCCTTCCCCCAGCCTTCCCCACATATCCCAAATGACATCTGACCTCTAGCTCCTGGAAATCCTCCTCTTCCTCCACATCATAGGAGAGGGTGTGAATCTTGATGTCATCTGCTGACAGATCGATGAACTTGCTGTCCGGGTACTCCAGGCTGTCTTTGGTGGGAGAACGGTCCTCGATGAAGGTAGTTTCACAGCACTCCGAGCCAATGCTCTCGCCCCACGAGCGCAACATATTCTCTGAGTAGAGGATGATGTTGGGCCGGTAGTGAGACTCCACCGTCTGCTGCAGCATGTTGGGGTCCAGGAGCTGCTGCACAGGGTCATTCCTGCCATTATCCAGGCAGCTTGGAGAGGAAAGGCTGCCCGCTCGGTGGCTCTGGTACTGGGGGGTCGGGTACACAGAGACCAGACCATCTCGGCTCTCTGCCACTAAGTTCCTTGTATTAATTAAACCATTCCTTTTCCCAGCTTCAGTGATCTTATTGTGCATTAGCACGCTGTTCTGCTCAACCAAGCCATCCATACTGGGAGATGTCTGAGGCAGTGGGACGGGTGGTCTTTATTTTGTTGTACCTTAGAGACAGGTCACACTGGGGCAGTAGCTTCCATTTTCCTGATGAAGAAAGGAAACAGGTACCAAGGTGAGCACAAAGGCAATGAACAACATCAAGGCACCCAAATCAGCTTGTCTTTGTTATCACCTTATAAGGAAATACAGCCCCACATATGTGTACACCCTGCCCTAGGTCTCCAAATATATCCCTACTTGGAGAGGAAAAAAAACCCACCCCAAATCCATGGGGTGAACAGGAGCAGATGACAATGTGTGGTGACAGAGGACTTCCTGAGATATCTTGGTAATGGTGGGCTCTGTCAGAGAAGGGCTATGATGCCTCCTCCATCCTCCCACAGGTACGCCACTGTCATTCTGCAGACAATGTCCCTTTCCTCTAAACACTCTGATAAAAGAGATGGGGGAAAAAACCAAAGATAAAAGAACTGTTTTCAGTTCTCAGAAATCTGCAACTGTGAAGGATAGGCAGCTGGGGTGTTCAGTTGTCAGCCTCTGCAGCCACCCTTCACTCTTGGCAAGTGCTTTACTACCCTTTGAAAACCCAGCTGAAGGAAAAGAAGCAGGCAGCACTCTTCAAATCGACTGAAAAACACCACCTGAAGGGAAGATCAGAGCTGACCCAGAGGAATTAAAACTCCTCTGGACAGGGTCTCAAATCCCCTGTGTTGCTCTTGGGTGCCCCACTTCCGATGCTCCGAGGCTGCCCCAGGGTGACAGATTGAAGGGCTGTGATGGGGCTTGTCAGCGAGACCATCCCCATCCAGATTCACCTGGAAGACATGGAGGCACAGTCACTTGAGCCCCAGGAGCTGGTTGTCTGCTTTTGCACAGGTACAACAGCTATCTTCTGTCTCACCAGACCACCAGCCTGGCTCTGTTTTGTGTGGGTTGTGCTAAGGCGTGAGAAATCAAAAGGGACAGTTCAGAAGGCTAAAAGTACTTTTTTCCAAGCCCAAACACTTTCTCACCGGGACACCCGTTTTGCTCAGGTGCATCCAAAGGAAAATGCTTTTTGAAATACAGGTGGATCCACCACAGCAGCAATGAGCTCAGGGTTTTTTTTCTGGGCCTGACCATAGAAATCACAGAAATGCTCCTGGCTTCAAACAGCTTCATGTCAGATCCTCCAAGGCCAAATTCTTAAGGTAGGTAGGATTACCTGTCCCCAGTGTGCTGCCCAGAGGAAAACATGAATTACACATACAAACACACATACATACATATTATTTTTATTTGAGGCTTTCTCTCTATTTCCCTTTTATATCAGAGATCCTCTAACAGAGCAATGGCTAGCAAAAGCCTAATTTTATTTGCTCTGAATAACTCCAGACTTCAAACATCTGCAGTCTCCCTTTTGGCTTGTAAGAGCTATTTAAACCATTGCTAAGAGCTGGTCTTCTGTTCTTACACTACAAATGGAGCAAGAAACTTGTTTAACATACAAGAGAGCTTAACTAAGTACGCTGCAATGTTTGCATTCACAGTACTTGCTTTAACACATAGAAAACCCATTTTACTATGTTGTCAAATACTTCAGTGCTTGAATCAGGAAAGCTACTCAAGTGAAAATACACCATAGTGGGATCCCATGGAATTTACACTACACGTCTCTCAGCCCCAAACCTGGGGAACCTGCACGCAAAATTACACCAATTTGCAAATTAACTTGGAAGCTTGGACTCTGTTTCACCAAAGGATTGATCCCAAAGCCCTCAATCCCTTTGCAGCAGATAAGACTGAGAGCAGGTGTCCTGCCTTTCCAAGGAAAACTCATTTCCATATGCCACCATGCCTGTGCTAAATGAACAGAGGACCATGCCCTTTTCCTGCTCCCAGAGGGGTAACATCAGTCTGTGTCAGCACAGAGGTATTGGTGTTAGTTGGAGCTGGTTTGGGAGGAAGCAAGCGAAGTTCAGCAGGCAAGAGTAGGTGGGGAAGCCAACATGTTGACATTTGTCTTAGGACTAGTGCTTGCAGAAAATCAATCTTCCATCCGTCACCCCGTACTGAGCGCTGGCAACCTGCAAGACCTCCTGTGGGCTGCTAAGCTGTCCCAATTTTGCTGTTTAGGAGGCTTCAGAGGCTGGGTGGGACCCAGTCACAACCTCAGCTGGGGAACACCCACTGCTTTACCCAGGTTGGGTGGGACCACTTGCTTAGGAGATTACTCTGCTGTGCCTCCAAAAGCTTGCCCACAAACATTCCCATTCTTCCTCCCACCCCTCCCAAAGAAACAAAATAAAAGTACATCACCACAGGCAGAAGCTGAGAAAAATTCAACAACTGTAAGTTGTCAGGAGATTTTGCTCAGTTCCCCCTGAGGTGTCTTGAAAAATGTGCAAGGCTCCCTGATATGTGACACCAACCATCAACCCCACTGAAGCCAGAGAGACTTCAACCAAAACTGTAAACCATCTCACAAGCATTCTTAGCCCTGCCATTTGTCCAAGCAAACTGAAATGGTCAGCAGAAATATGCCACAGATGTAGCAGAAATCTGAAGATGCACAAATCAAACAGGTCCCCTCCCAGAAAAATGGATTAAGAAGTCAATAGTTGGTCACTGCATCAATGGCTGCAGCAAAGCTTGGGTCAGGCCGCGCACCTCCATGTAGTCACATCATGCCAACAAATGGGTATTGTCTGACTTGAGCAGCACTCAGGAAAATGCCATTTTAAGGCAGCTTTATCACATGACTTTGAGCTGCACTGTCAGATTCCCTTCACATTGTCTCTGCACTTGCCTATCATCCGGATAACGCTTGGCTCTGGAAATGCAGGTCTCACTCCAGGCATTCCTCTGACAGCTGTAATGTCTTCATGGAAAATGCTCACTTTGAATGGGTGCAAATGAGGCTCTACAGGCACTGTGACACCAGAGATAGCTGGTATGCAGACCAGTACATGTTCCTCATGCAGTTTTAGGTGGTCATCTTAAAAGGCATGGATTATGAGGAAGGGTCACTCCCATCTCTCTAAAGTTTACTTGCATGGGGACACTCCAAAATCATGGGAAATGAAAACCATCCTTCAGTTCTTCTCACATTCCTCAGCAACAGGAGGAGAAAAGTAAGCAGAGGCCAGAGGGGAAGATGCTTTAGTATGCCTAAGTGACCTGAGACCCAGGAGCACTTCAGAACATGACTGGAATGTCAGTAGGAGTCAGGAGTCAGGACTGCCCCACACCATCCCTTACTCCTCAATGCTCCTCAGTGTATGTAATGCAGGAGCCAAGTCCCTTTGGCTGATTAAAAGGAGGCCCAGGACTCAACATCATTTCAAAAGGTGATTTGGCTCCAAAGCATTTGGAGTGCTGACAGATAAGATTCTGCAAAAGACCTAAACCAGGACTGCTCATGACGACTTTGGTACTCTATGGCTGGTATCTCTACCATCCCAAGGAACTGAGAACAACTACGTTACAGGCTCAAGCATCATCCCTAATCACCCACACCAGCAAAGTGTTAGCACACCCCATAGACTGGCTTCAGCCTGTGCCCTCTCCCAGACAATACCTATGCTGCAGTAAATAAGTGCCATGCATGCTCCTGAGAAGCCCAAAGGGGAAATCCACCTTGTTTTGGCAGGTAAGAGAGTTTAGCAGAATGGACAGAGTCAAAGCTGGACCATTCAGACTATGGGTGACAGGATGGATCCTGGCATGCATCACTTACTAGATAGGAGAGCACCTGTGGTGTCGTTCAGTCCTACTGTGGATCTAAGCATCTATCTGGCTGGTGCTTACCTGCCATGCATTTAAACCAGTCTTGTAAAACAATCTTGCAGATTCTGAGTGACGCTTTCCCCTTGGGATGGGGGGAGGGTGGGAAGCAAACATCTGAAATGAAGCAAGGACAAGACAGGGAGCATCCTTCCCACACATAGCTCCTCCAGTAATAGGGCTAATGCATTGCTCAAGACATCCTCTCCGGAGTCCCACATAACAGTGCAGCTCACATGCCTCAGGGAAGGTCAGCAGAGAGAGACACAGATGGCAGCATGCAATCAAGGAAAATTGTTTAACCCTAGAGTCATTTCAATCTGTAGCTGGCTGGCTACCTTACCAGAGCCTGACCTAATGTTCTCGGCCCTGCAAGTGTATTGCTTAATGGTAAGGAGCTGGCAAGACTCTTATGCTTTTCCATTATAATATCTTAACAGGGAAAAAAAACCCCACAATAACAACAACAACAACAACAACAACAACAACAATAATAATATTAAAGTGGCATTGATTTTTCTTTTCCGGGTGAAATTCCTGAGTGGCTGGCGATTAGGTTTAAATCAATAGCACCTTGATTGCCAGTGCATTTTGATGCATAGCTGAAACAAGGTCAATTGCTGTCTAGGGAAACTGAGAAACAGTTGAGGTACCCAGAGATTCTTCATCAATAAAAAGGCAGGATTAAGAGTGCTGTCAGCCACAAATGAAATTTCACGTCCTCATGGATAAAAGAGAACCTCCCCTGGGCTTTTCTCTTCCCAACCACTGGCTGAAGAGAGTTAAATCAGATTTCCAAGGCCTTTGTAACCTGCTTCTACCTCAGTGTTGGTGGGAGAATTAGACTCAAAGGCTGGACTTCATTTCACCTACTGCAGACACCTGAGGATGTTTCTTGGATAACTAATTGCAGTTATGCAAGGTGCGTAGGACCGGTGGGCTCAGTCTCCCTTTGGAGAAACGATACACCTGTAAAATACAGGGGAGACCCTTCAGCTTAATACTGACCTTCAGATGAGTGAAGCAGGAGAAATGAGTCCCCCAGGTTCAGATAGAGGAGCGACCGACAGCAGCACATGGCCGTGACTGATGCTTAGGGGCAAAAGGCAGCAAGCGCTTATGCAATGGCTCAGAGCCTGTATCCTGCCTGCAGGGACTCCTTGGAGGTGGATTCAGTGACCATCCTTTCATTAAGGGCTTTCACTAACCTGACCCAGGCTGACATGTCTCCAGCTCACAGGCAGGTCCTAAAATTAAGATTGCCCCAGTTTCCAGGTCAAACTGCAGCCCAGAGGATCCCGTATAGCAGCCTGAC